AGGTGCACCCCCGTCCCCCATCCACTAGAAGTGCACCCCCATAGGCTAAGCGGCGCCCCACACGCCGCCCCACACGATTAGCTCTAGAGCAGATGGCGAGGGTGATTTCTCGGCTACATTCCATCTCGGCGTCGTGATGCTTGTGGGCTTGGAAAGCGTCCAGTCGTATGTAGGGTAGTGTAGGGGTAGGGTTGAGTTCAATAAGGTCCTTACATTTGAAAGGTTTGAACAACCCGCAATCAGCACAACATACCACAAGTTAAATAAAAAACTACCAAACACCGCCCAACTAATATTAATAAACATTACAGCCAAACTAATGGCCTAAATAAAAATATATCTCAAATCCTAACAGTTATCGCGGGTGATGGCGCCATGAGTTGCTATTATCCAAAACAGATGCAAATAAACATGTTTGTATGTCCTATGTATGTTTGTTTTAAAAACGTTGCAGCGGCGCTGGGAACTGCAGTCTTAGATCTGGGTATGTTTGGCATCTGCAACTCTTCATATACACATTAACCCTATTTCGGACGGGGAGACCTTTCAGGATTTTCCTGTACAATTGCCAAACGCCGCGAGACATTCAGCTCATATTTGGTGACTTTTCCTAAATGCTCATTGCGCACATCTCAGCAAAAAAAAAAATGCCGGGTCAGGTCAGGTCAGGTAACCAGAGCGGGTTTGTTGACCCCACCTCAGAAAAGTTTGCAAACACGTCAGAGCTTGAGTTTTTCACGAAGTTATTTCCTCTCATCAAGTCTTCAAAACAGTACCTGCAGTATGTGTCGTTTGTATATCTCAGAATTTTTGATCTGTGACCTGAGGTTAGGTCAGAGTCGTGACCTTTACATTGCAAGCCTATGGAAAAGTATTGAAATGCGACCTGCACCTCGAGTAAACGAGTCAAAACCACCCAATTCTTTAAGAATTATGACGAATTATCTTATCTTTCTAGTTGAGGTTTATTTGCTATTGGGTCTACAGTGCAGGGATATTTCTATCTCGCACTCCTCTGAGATGCAAAGATAAGAATTTGTTATATCTGCATCCCTCTGAGATGCAAAGATACGGTCTCGAGGGTTCATAGCGAAAAATCAAGAGTTCATGTGATGATGGGTCGATAACCGAACGACATTTTTAATGGCTGTTTATGGATGAAACTTATGAAATAACAACAAACTACTCTGAAACTATTTTTACATAAATGAATGCATTTAAATATAATATTTTATTAATTAAAAATAAACCTCAACATAGAAAGATATAGGATTCCTCATGGCTCACTCGTGGAAGATCGGATATCTTTTCCTCGCGTGTTACAGAAAAACCTCGCTCCTTCGTCGCTCGGTTTTTCAGTAACCCGCTTGGAAAAGATATCCTTATCTTCCACTCGGAGCCATGAAGAATCCTCTATATCTGTAATGATTCAGGTGCCATTTACTGACAGGGACACCGGAGAGGGTTATCTGAGCCGAGATCATGTGAGGTGATATCTACCATACATCAATGCTCACAATACTTACAATATTGACAATGCTTTTGCTTACAACACTTACAATACTTACGATGAGACCAGCAAGCACTCTGCCGTTACAGTTCTAACTTCTGTTTCGAAAAACGACGTTACACACATTCGCTGCCAGCATAACATGTATTGTTTGACAGTAACAAAATACAATTGACATCTGAACCCCAAACGGACCGCCATCCACTCAAATTTTATAACCCTGACCGGTCAGGGGGCGAATGGAGGTCATTTCCTGGGCATTACACTCAGCCCTTGCACAAAATATCTCACCTCACAGTGATCATTACAACAATAGCACCGACTTGATAGTGGATTTCAAAGTATTTGCATCAGCTCTTCCTGCTATTGCAGACGATCATCTCCTCAGGGTAATGTTGTTCGGGACATGAACGAAGATCGTTTTCGGAGTTTCATAAGTGCTACTGCAACAGCCTGGCACAAAACAGGACTTGTACGCTCTTCTCTGCACTTTGCCCTTCAGTATATCACAAAAGAATTGTTTAGAATCCATCTTACGCTTCTTTCACAGTCTTCCTTGCCACCGTAGGGCGTAGATAGATTGCTGTTGCTGGTAAGTTAAGGCACGGTAGATAGAAATTACCTCGGTTCTCAACGCCTTAAGTTATTTTTATAAAAAAAGAACAAATAAATGATCAATAAGATGACAGGAATGTAAACATTTTAATCGTAAAGTAGTCCAAATATTGGAATGAGCTTTTGCTTTTCAGCATCCTCCGATTCATCATCTTTATCATTTGAAAATTCGAGGTACATAAAATGTTTATCACGCGCTCATGTTAAGTGGGAATATAGTACACGGCAGACACATCAATTTTTGACACTGAACATTTCATCCGTAAATGTTTTAGCATAATTTAAAGCTAAAAACAGCGCGAATGGCAGAGTGAAACAAACAACATCTTTCACCCATTGATATAACATGTAATCTGTGGTGCGCCAGATGCGCCATTATTTGTCAACCGCAGAAGGTGACATGTGACGTAACAGCATCAAGAGCATCTTTTTTCAAGAACTTTTCAAAACAAGTTTCCTATCTTTCTTCCCCCATTTCTCTCAGCTTATTGATTTTATGAGGCAATGGTATGCACCATAAATTCTGTGAAAATAGTTTGATCATTTTCATGCATTCTTAAAAAATCGAGTTCCCAACCCCATTGTTCATCTTTTCAGAGTACCATCTATGTACCAACATATATGTTAGTTGATGCTCCAACATGTATTATACTTTACAGCTACTTCATTGTTTTGCTGTAGATATCATAACTAGTGTAATATACATATGCTTAATATGTATGATATGTATATGTATGCTGTGTATGAGTATGTATATGCTATATACGCTATACATATATATGTGTATATATATGGTATATAATGTGTATATGTGTGATATGTATGTATGTATGTGTATATGTGTATCAATGTATGTGTGTATTTGTGTGTATGTGTATGTGTGCATATGTATATCATAATTTATATGCCTTTTGTCTGTTTACATATATTTTCTGTATTCTGTATTCTAAAGGCTCAACTGCCTTAATTTTTCCTTTTTTTCCTTTTACAGTACAGTACGGTACAGTAGGTACACTGTACAGTTACAGTACCTTTTTTCTCTTTTTTATCACTTCTTTCACTGTACCCCAGGTACGATGACCAGTAATACATATGTAGGTACACACTTGCTGATAATACCATTGATGATGGTAATAATGGTTGTATGTTGATGTATGTTATTTACATCTCTTATTGCATTACGAATGTACGTTGATGTATGCTGTTTGTTTACATCGTTGTGTTACATGTAAGTGTTTTGTATTGACGTCCTACCGTGTATTATTGTGGTATCAAATATCACCCAATAACCATCGCTGGAACCGGTGAGACCGAGCGGCAACAAGCTTTGCTTAGCTGCGGGGTCTCACTTGGCTCCAGCAAAAGCAAACTGCTAAAATGACCAGATAATGTATGCATATATTATTTTGCATATTACTCAGAAAATTGTATAAATGTTAAATTCTCTGCATGGCTGGGTCTCCCATGATCACTTTAACCTTTTTTATTGGGGATTGTAGTGGGGGGTCAGTCAATGACTTATGAGCACATTGACTACTTTCTATCTTATGATTATACCATGCCTACATCCTCGCTCCCTTCTTGTCTTCTTTTTATTTCTTTTCCATTTCTTAGCTGGGAGTGCCGCGACATTGCTTTTTTTTGTTTTTCTCTGGTGTTAACGTAAGGGTACTGTGTGTCGCTGGGTTCGAGGGTGGGGGCACTCCTGGTCACCTATTAATGGGTGGCGGCGTAGAAAAAAAAAATGTTACATGGATCAGGCCTGCAATACCCATATGACTAAGCGAATGATTTGGGTGAAAAAACAAGGTTTTTGTGTATGATGTGTTTGTTTTAAAAACAGTACTGGCAACGGCAATACCAATTAATGGTTGAAGTTGCAAGTTTGGTGGTTTTCTTCGACTAGCTCTGAGCTATGTTTTTACTGGACAAACAACAGCAGCCCAAAATATCTCTCTGCGTCCGTCGGTAAACGCTCGCTGCTGAGGTTTTTGGAGGAAGACTCCGGCCACGCGAGCACGCAATCCCGTCATCATTGAGCTGCGCCCTTGGCCCACCGGTGATCTAATCCCGCGAGCTACTCCACTGAACCGCCAGACTGACCTGGCCTAGTTCGGAACAAATTGGCCAACAACGATCCAGATCAGGGTCCCGATTGGGTTTAAATGCTGATCAGTATTTTTCTGTGCTTCTGGTGATTTCCCACAGTTGCTTTTTATAAGACGCATATCATCCGCGCTAGGGATTGAGATCCGCTTTTGATTCCCAATTCGGAATTGAACTGAATCTCTCCTTCATCACATCATGATTATATAGCTAGATGATAAATTGAGCTAAATTAAATGTTTAATTTGGTTGTGTGCCGTCCTCGCCCCTCATCCGTGGCCCAGTGGATGTACCGTGGCTACCCGTGCTGCCCCTGTTCTCACCTGTGGCCCAGTGGATGGCCGAGTGCCTCTCTCTCTCTCTCTCTCACTCTCTCTCTCACTCTCTCTCTCTCTCCTCCCCTCTCTCTCTCTCTCTCTCTCTCTCTCTCCCTCTCACCTGTGGCCCAGTGGATGGCCGAGTGCTCTCTCTCTCTCTCTCTCTCTCTCTCTCTCTCTCTCTCTCTCTCTCTCTCTCTCTCTCTCTCTCTCTCTCTCTCACTCTCTCCTCTCTCTCTCTCTCTCTCTCTCTCTCTCTCTCTCTCTCTCTCTCTCTCTCTCTCTCCCCTCTCACCTGTCGCCCAGTGGATGGCCGAGTGCTCTCTCTCCCTCTCTCTCTCCCCCTCTCTCTCTCTCTCTCTCCCTCTCTCTCTCTTCTCTCTCTTCTCTCTCTTCTCTCTCTCTCTCTCTCTCTCTCTCTCTATCTCTCTCTCTCTCTCTCCCTCTCTCACCTGTGGCCCAGTGGATGGCCGAGTGCCGCTCGTGGTCCTGTGCGGACACATCCGCTCCGCGCCGGAGCAGCAGTTTGACCAGCGCCCTGTTCCCGGAGATGACGGCCAGATGGAGCGGCGTGTAACCGTCCTCATCCGCGGCAGAGTGCAGGTCAGAGGCCGCCGATAGCAGCAGCTCGGCGCAGCTGGTGCCGCTGCTGTCGGCGCAGTAGTGCAACGCCGTCTTCCGCGTCCGGTCCCGGTCCCGCGCCGCGGCGGGCTGAGGAGAGGGTGGTTACTGATTACTATGGACGTCAAACCCCTTGAGGCCCCACTTTTTTGCGATAATTTTTTAATGTGTCAACATTCGTTGACAATATTCTGGCAATGTGTGTTTCAGAACCTGCCGAAACTTTTATTACTAAGGTATTTTGATGCCAAACGATTATGGAAGGTACCTCTCATTCACTCGTAATGCTAAGGTCAATTCAGGCCCGGGCAGAGGCTTGCGCTCGGCCACACTCGAGCCCCGCCACCAGCGCCATCTGCTCTAAATGCCATCTACCAGCGCCCGCTACCGCTACCAGCTACCGCCCACCATCAAGCCTGAATGGAGCGAGAGACGCAAGTGACTGGTCGCCGGGCAAGGAGCGCCGGAGGGGTAGGGCGGAGCTTAGCGCTGACGTCATTACGTGGCTCCACCCCATGAGCGCGTAGCCTCTACCCAAACAGTAGATTCGTTCCGTGAAATTTAACATTACGAGTGAATGAGAAGTACCTTTCATAATCGTTTCGCGTCAAAATACCTTAGTAATAAAAGTTTCGGCAGGTTCTGAAACACACATTGCCAGAATATTGTCAACGAGGGTTGACGCATTTAAAAATTATCGCAAAAAAGTGGGGTCTCAAGGGGTTTGACGTCCATAGTAGTCGTTCTAAAGCTTCCATGCTGCAGCAGGCTGGGGAACAGGGGCTAGTCTCTGGTTCTACTCGCGGGAAGCGGCAGGCTGGGAAGACATGGCAAAGGCTGCACACAGTTGTCCTTTGTTGGCAGGATAGGCTGGGAACAGAAGGAAAGGTCGCACACATTTCTCTCTTCGGTCGTGTCTCAATTTCCTGAGATGACATTTCAGCTTTTCTTTCATTGCAAATATAAAATGACACGGAAATGAAATATGAAAGACGTATTTAGTAGTTACTACTGTTCATATATTGAATAGAACGTCGGTTCTATACGTTTAGCATGCGAAGTCAATTTTGCAAATTAAAACGCTGAATGCAAGGATATTAAACGCGAAATGGGACGCTCAAAGTTCATCAATCGTTGACCCCTTACTGACCTGTGCGCTAAGGATGCGTCGGACCTCCTGGTCATTCTCCTGTTGGCAGGCCAGCATCAGTGGCGTGACCGGCTCCACAGGTCGGGTCATGACCTCGTCCTCCTGTCGCGACTCGTACGCCGCCGGCAGCTCAGTCACGGTAGTCATGGTGACGCCTGAAACACGGAGCGTTAGAGACGTCATCAGCGTGATCGGCGGCGCAGAGAAGCCATCGGCGTATCGGTAAAATCGGCTGACATCTGGTGGTCAGTTTAGGTGGGTGAGGGTGGTTGCGACTGTGCATCAGCTACGGGAGTAGATAGCTTGAGGAATGGGCTGTTGGTGGCTTAGCAACGCAGTGTTACAGCTCAATGCTCACCGTTCGATTCCATGACCGTTTTCAAGTACGGCCTCTGGCTGCGAAATTTCACCGTCTTCTTTACGGGCTTCGCTCGTCTTTCGGCGACCATCTTATGGCCGATAACCTCTAGCTGTATGCCACCGTCCGCCGCCACTGTGGCTGGACTCAGCGTTCCCCGGTGTCCAATCGGTCACTAAACTCGCCGGCCATCCGAGCAAGTGCAGCAGCCAGCAACTGCCGTTACGACAGCGACTTCACTAGACCGTCCTCACACGACAGCGTCCGACCGGCTACTGAGGCCTCTGATCCTCCCAGCCGCCTCCAGGCCCCGCCTGCACGCAGCCCAGTAAAACAGAGGCCCTCCGCGGCCCCCTGCGGCTGCCGACCGGTCACGATACGACCTGAGCGGCCGGGCTGATCGGGCAGCGGGAGCAAGGTCGGGCTCAGACCCCCGGCCTCGACCCAGAGCGTGCGAGGGGTGGGGTTTGGAATGGGCCACCGGCACGAAGATCCGATTGATTGGCTGCAATGTCAACAGAGCATCCTCCTGAAACGGAAATACGCGGCCCTGTTGACTCTTATGGCTGAGACGGACGAAATAAAACAGTTAGCGAATGCGTTTTGCGTTTTTGTTTTTGAATTACTAGGTATTCATATTATTTTGCATTGACCCGATGGTATTATCCTGTTATTATCGAATGGATAACGCTAATGATTCATTACATAGCATAGGGAGTGGGACCCTTTGTCAGTTACCCGCTCTGACAAAGAAACGAATTACGTATAAAGTTTTGTTGTGGAATATTGCGTGTATTTATTTACAAATTGTTCGTTACGATATGTCTGTGCCGGATTCAGGCCCATATTTGCTGAGGAGTTGAATCAATATATGGTCATATACAATTGCTTGATTATGTTTGTGTGGGTACGGATTTGAGTTTACTACAAACTCTGTTGCATTTACTGCAAGCCAAAGAGGATCACTTTTATACCGTGTGACTTATTTTACTAACAATCTGTGGGTCAGTTGCACGAAACTGAGTGACAAAGCCGGCCTTCTTTGTGGCCTTGATATTAGAGTAACCTTGAATTGTGTGGCTGACAGTCACGAACGAACCGCGTTATCCCTTCAGCTGTCGCAATTAGTAAGGAGTGCCTCGTGAAATAGTCTGTCCCTTTAGCGTGAGCAGTGCTACTGCGGAAGTCCTTCCCATTGTGGTGTGTCTATCCAGTCTGCTTGCTCATCCTGCGCTCCTGCCGAGCCACAACCTCTTATACGGCCTTGGCCACAGCAGTGCCTTAGTCACGGACGACGGCTTCGTGAAATCGTGACTCCGTGAAAATCCTATTCCACTGTCTAGGGTGCTGACTTCGGTATAAGCATGACGGACAGTGGATTTCACATACCATGTCCAGCTCTGGCCGACGTGGGTTCTGTGGCTCATTTTCCTTGAATCATGCAGACGACAATACAAATACAGCAAAATTAAAACCAGACGTTTCCGACAACCGGCTCATGTTGTGTGCACTTACGGACACCGTGTTGAACATTACGGGCGATACTGTCCAAAATGCCTACTCGGGCACTATTCCAACGCCAGTCATCCATGAAACGGCACGTAAAACAAAAATGGCGGCCTCGTCATGTAGCTTTGTGGTGACAGTGTCGAAATGTGTTTTGCCATGGCAATCCGCTCAATACAGCCGGCCTTCTGTATTCCGCACCTCGCCGGGTAACTTGTGGCTCGGTGTGGTTTACCAGAAACGTAGTTCATCTTCAGTTTTCTTCAGTCTTGAAACATTTCCGTGTGTTTAGTGCTTATGCTGTGGAAGGCTTCGCCATACACATACGTGTGCTCGTATCTACTCGCAGCGGGTATGTTCTGTTTCCATTCCAACTCCACCCATTTAGGTGTGCACTGTGCACTATGCTGTCACTTAGAATGGAACTGTCCATTTTTGTTTGGCTTCTCTACATGTCTAGTTCCAGCGCGTCCAACTCGTCTTACAAAACCTATTTATACTTCACCAAATGTGTGTGCCCTTTGCACACAAAACACATCAGCGTTTCTGGTGGGCAATAGCGTAGTCAGACGATCTACTGGACAGCTGTCAGGCTACACTCCACCGACTAAGTAATGTTTACTCCGTTCGCTGATCGTCCATTTCTGTCCTTCCACCGCTGCTGCGGGGCGGTGCGGGTAAGCCTGGTGATTCTGTCTTCCTCGCTACAGCGAGGCTGACTCACTGGCTGCTGTTGGCCGAGACCATCGATTGCTGTTGTAGCTTCTATCTACTCTGTTCCGAAGCTGGGGCTAGACTGATCTCCGAAAGAGGTCCTTGCGTATATATCGACCTCACAGTGAGTCAGTGACCCGACCGAACTCCTGGGGTCTTCAAGATAACCAGTCACTAGTCAGACTTCAATGTTATGCGCATCGAGAAGGATTTGCATTTTTTTCATCTTCCAGTCCTTTGCTAATCAGGCCAAATCAAATGCAAATTGTTTCAAAATGCTCCTGCAAAGTGAATTCAGAATTTGTCAATCGAGCTCGCAATAGTACGCCGTATGCTGGTTGAAGTCGGAACTGTTGGATAACTTTGCTTCTTTGGCGCTACCTTCTAGCTGCGCAGGTATCAGGCTGCTTTGCCCCGATGACTCAGTTCATATATATGTCACACTATGTCTGCGTATACCAACGCACAGCAGCACAATGCATCGCTATTGACCAATCCCGTGTCCATTCAGCAGTTTGGCGATTTCGGCTCTCATCTGTACTCGCCATTATCGATCACGCCCGAACTGGTGCGCGGGGCGCGAGGGTCCGTCCCGGGGGTGGTTTTTGTTGGTCTCACATTGTTCCGGTCCCCGCTGTTCCCATTACCGATCGGTTCCGCGCAGGGCCAATGGGTCAGAGCCGGTCCCGGGAACGCAGAATCGTGGCATATCGGTCCCGTATATACGTGCGCGTACGGGGCCGGATGGCGTGCGAAGGCTATTGGGAGTTCACAGAATTCTGGAGCTGCAGAGGAATGTCATGGCCAGCGATAGTAAAATGGCATGGCTCATTTGAAATGCATGTCACGCTAAAAAGTGATTTTGATTCGTAAAATACTTTACGTTGTGAAACGCTATGAATAACACGCTGCCTGTCAAATGTCAGATACCTATACGATATGTATGTATGCTATAGTTCATGCACGGAGATGTTACGATTACGATTACGGAGATGTACCTGTTCTTATAATCGTGGGGATTACCTCCAAATGGCTTGTTATCATGAAATCTGCCTCTAACAAGGGGTAATTTCACAATCTTCATCTGTCTACATCCGCATCCAAAGATATCGACTGCGCCTTCAGGGAATAATGGCAATGTTTCGAAATAATGGTCATCAAGCGGCATAAATTCTGGTGATAAGATATAGTCGCAAACGACTATTTTATCATGAGATGTTGGCTGTTTGCTTGCTTATAGATTCATGCAAATAAGGAAGGAAGTAAGCGAGTGTGTGATTATAAGGCATAGCTATTCTAATACAATGTAAAGCAGAGCAGTAATGACATTTATTCGTCCGGAAATAGCGGGTAGGTATAACCCCTAATACATATCTTCTTTTTGCCACCCCCTCCCCTGCCTACCTAGCCTATAGTCTTTGGCTACATGAGAACAACCTTAATCCGTCTCCTACGTTTCTATCAGCTGACCTAGTTTCACTTTCTTTTTGACTTTTTGAATATTGACATCAACCGGTGCAGTCTCCATCTAACATTGGTTCATCGTGGTGCGGTATAACCGCTGCTTCCATTCCGCGGCCGCGCGGCTGCGTGTCGTGTCGGACCAACTTGTCCGCCACCGGCGAAAAACAGGTCACCGCTGCTGATTAGCTGGCGGCCATAATTGTAAAGTTATAACGGGCCGTCGACAGCGTGTCGGCTCGGTCCTCGCGGCGGCCGAGGGACCGATCGGCTCGGTTGACCGGCCGATTGGGGCAGCACATGATCGGTATTGTTGCAGCAACAATGGTGCAGTGTTGATGGTTTGGAGGTGCGACGTGGTAAGAAGCACAGGTAATCGATGGGCAACATTTGCGGTTCTCTGGCACAATAAAAGCGAAATGCTAATCTGGCTTATTGTAAAATGCAGCAACGTGAGAAGGCAACACAATCAACGTGTCCCTGCACCCGCCCGAACGACATATAACGAACATATACAAATGCTGCTCTCATGGGATATGTCTCCTTTCCTACATCAATCGCCATACACCAGCTGCGAATGTATTCCTCACCTGATACTGTCCGTTGTGTTATCGGTTCTCCATCCAGCCGTTCATTTCAGCTCCCTCACCAATATCACCTCTTGCAACCCCAGCAAACCCGCAGCACTGTCGACCACCGTTCCACCGCGCGCGCCTCCCCGGCCCGACCAGCGGCAGACTGGTGGGCTTGTCGATACCGACTGGACCTCACCACATACTCGGACCGATACTGGACGTCGGTGGTAGCGGCAGGTGGGCCGCCACGTCGGCCCGTCGGTCGGTCGTCGGACGGAGTCACGCCGGCGGCGGCGGCGAGCGCGCAGCCCTGCGGGGGGGGGGGGAGGGGGCGACAACCGACACTCATGGAGGGGACGTGGCCTGCACGGAAGGTGGATAAAAAAGGCGTTTGTGAGGTGCAGTGACTATTGGATTTCGGTCGATTTAACCCGCGCCCGGCTGGGGGTCCTGGATTTCCACGCCCTGCTGGGGGGGGGGGGTGTTTGAACACCCCCCCTTCTAACTCGGCTCCTGGGCCACGTAGCGAAACGCGGAAGGCGGCGTTCGAAAGAGCGCCAAAAATAATGACGAAATCACTTCGGTCACTTTTTTGGTCAGGTCAAAGGTCAGGTCACCAGAGGTCATTGAAGGCAAAATTTCGCCGATTTTCAGGTCGAATGTCGACAATTTCCAGGAAGCCAACGCATAACTCGGGAACCAATAGAGCTACAGCGCCGCGGAAAAGCGCATTCGATAGCCCTATTAACGCCCTTTCTGAGTAATTCTCTCAGATTTGACCTATCGTCAACGGTTTTGCCTGCAGGGGGCAAAAACTGCAAAAATAGCCGATTTTTTCGGAAACAGTTTTTCTGCAATAACTTTTGACCCAAGCCTTGTACGAGCTTACTTTTACCGGCATCGTGTTCCTCTCGTCAAGACGCATCGAATGAACTATAACTTGACCTTGAAAGGTCAACTTGAAAATTTGACCTCAGGTCAAGGTCATGACCTGACCGGAAAGGGTCATGTTGCATATCAGTCGATCCGTATCGTCGAGCTGAACACATCTAAGGCGTTTTCATCGCTCTAGCGTGCCTCTATCAAAAGTTATTTGCGAAAAACTGTTAGATACCATTCGTGACCTAAGATGACCTCA